AGAGCCCCCACCAACACTCCCCCCCCCCCCCATTAACTTGATTTATATGCGAGGACGCTGAGGGAGATTGCACAGCCGGAGGAGAGGGGTGAGCAGTCAGGATTGAGGATCCGGTGAGTATAACTTTTTTTTTATTTTAGACCCTAGACCAAAACGAGCAGTTAACCCTTGCAGCGCTGGGGTAGTCCTACTGCAAGGGTCCAGGTGTCACTTAAGTTATGTTTCACATTTGGTGGTCACACCCCTGATAAACTTTCAGATCCCTCGGTGGGCAAAGTCTTACCTGTGGAGCTGTGACTCTGATGGATCTGACTTTCCTGTGGTCAGATGATTGCAGGATGAATGCCGATTGGTCGCTTTGGGTTCAGTGCCATTCTACAAAGGTGGGAAGGGAAGGAACGCTGGACGAGTTATTCATTTTGCTGAATGATATGAGGAAATTGATTTGAATTGGCAGCTTTTTGGTTTACGGCGGAGAAGGTAATGGCTTAGAATCAGGATTTGTGAAGCCCCCCTGGCGGGACGTAAAGCCGCTTAGCCTATGTTAGGACATTGTGTGTGCGTGTTGGGAGGGGGGTGTTGTTGTTTTTGGAAATAATTGATCCATTGACGAACATGCCGCCCGGAGAACAGGCTTCACCTTCATTACACGTCTGAACCCAAAACAAGCCAGCAATTGTGTGAAGGTTATGCCGACCTGGCAGCTCTGGCACTACACAAGCAGCTTTCTTTTTTATGAGAGGAAGATTTTCAGGCCTAGCCGTCAGGAGGCAAAACCTAAGCTGGCCAATCAACTGTCCACAGCGGACGTAAAAGAAAATAGCCGGATTTGACTTATTGATTGTCACTGTGTCACTGGAAGTCTGTATCTGGTACTTTATTGTTCACCGTTGCAGGAGAAGTTCATCATTAACTGACACACAAAGATCGGCTGCTGACATACAATGACGGCTATCTTCAGGCCTTGTTCACACAGAATGCGGTGCGTTCCAGAGCGGTAGCTGCTGGAACGCACCGCAAATCGCTCACACAACTGCCCCCTGCGTTCTGGGGCAAGCGGTGCATTTAATTCAGGGCTTGATCTATTTTTTTCGTTTGCAGTGGAACGGAACGCAGGCAAAGTTTTGCCACACGTCCGATCGCACTGGGGGCGGGGGGGGGCGTGGAAGCGTTGCCATTTAATTCAATGCCACGCCCCCTCCCACCCCAGATCGCAGGGGGAAGTTTCGTGAGCGATTGCGGTGCGTTCCAGCAGCTACCGCTCTGGAACGCACCGCATTCGGTGTGAACAGGGCCTCAGGGTCTGTTCACCCCATGTGATAATTGAAGGGGTTCAGCGATCACATAATAAACTACGGTCATGGCAATGTCACTGATGATTATCACAAACGATCCATGTTAGGGGGAATTCCGGCTCGCTTGATGGCGTTTTGACGAATGAAAACAATCGGGACTTTGCTTGTTTGAGTAAGAGAGGTGAACCCCGACATGTTGGAACCATCAACACTTTCCCGAAGGAAATCATCTATTTTCTGTTGCAAAGTGTATTCCATGGAGATCCCGCCAGTATCAGCATCTTCCTCTGCAGGGTGACAACGCTACTCCAATGCATTGTCAGCCTGCGGTGTCCTCCTCCAGTTGGCCGTCGGGCTGTCTCTCCGGCGTATCAGGAGGAGATTGTTACGTAGCTTCCTAAGCTGCCCATACACGGCTAGATTTTCAAACAAACTTTAATATACAAAAAACTGGTTAGAACCAATAATTCCATCGGAGACGTGACCAATATTGCTGGAAATTTCATTTGATTTTAACATTCGATTTTGGAATGAATGAAGTTTCCCCCCAACTAATATTATTATTATTATACGGGATTTATATGGCGCCAACAGTTTGCACAGCGCTGTACAATATAAGGAAGACATTACAATCACAATACAATTCAAGATAAGATGGTAAGGAGGGCCCTGCCCCTGAGGGCTTACAATCTAAAAGGGAGGGGCCAGTGATACATGAGGAGGGAGCTGCGTGGGGATGAATTGTCTGAGTACGTGATGGTCGAGTGGTTAGGTTGAGGTGGGATAGGTTTCCCTGAAGAGATGAGTCTTTAGGGATTGCCTAAAGGCAGTCAAGGTGGGAGATAGACAGACAGGTTGGGGTAAAGAATTCCAGAGGACGGGAGAGACTCTAGAGAAGTCCTGGAGGCGTGCATGGGAGGAGTTGACGAGGGAGCGGGAAAGCAGGAGGTCTTGGGAAGAGCAGAGTGGGCGGTTAGGGTGATACTTTGAGACCAGGTTGGAGATATAGTCGGGGGCGGAGTTGTGGACGGCTTTGTAAGTGATTGTTAATATTTTGAACTGTATCCTCTGGGCTATTGGAAGCCAGTGCAGGGATGTATTGTAAATCTCCCCCAGAAACCAGACAGGAGGTGAAGGGTGAGATCTCTGATGTGTGTCTCTTTCTTCCAGATGACGATGAGGTTAATGGTCGCCGTGAGCGTTGCTGTACTTGGATCACTGCAGTTTGGCTACAACACGGGAGTGATCAATGCCCCGCAGAAGGTAAGTGGACGTTTAACCAATCTGATTTTCAGACGTCCAATATTCGGAGTAACTGCAGCTGACAGATACATAGCTTGAAAAGGACTCGTGCTCACTCCCTGCCCAGTAGCTGGAAGTCTAAAGAACAAGGGTCCCCAGCTATTTAGAAGACTGGGGTAAGATAGAAGCTTCATTATAGCCTTAGATCCATGGTTTTCATGTCTTTTGCTGGCCTCCTGCCCCGGGGGAAGAGCCAAGCGATGGTTGTCCTATATTAGGAGTCTGGTGATGTGTCACCGGGACCTCACCCAGGAAGGCAGCAAGTTATCTGGGGTAAAAGTGGGCATAGCTTCTACGGTAGGCACTGACCAATCATATTGCAGCAGATCGGCGTCAGTGCTGAAACATAAACAAGACAGGCTCTGGGACGTGCAGCCGAGCCTGACCTAAAATAGTACATCTCATTAGGAAGATTAACCTGCCTCCCGAGGTCCCATCATGCCTCTGGATCCCCGGGAATAAAAGGATCCTGTTAACTCTGTTTCTGCTTGCACAGATCTGATATACCCTCGGTGATCGCTGACACGGGTGCAATCTACTGGCGCCGCTCAGTTCTAAACTCTCTTCTTTGTGGCAAAGTAACAGAGTGGGGGTGATTTACTAACCTAAGCGTATTTATCAACCAAAAAGTCTCTAAAAGCATATTTCCACTAATGCCATATATGGGAAAATCATGCACGTGACGCATATATAACGCTGCTTCACAGTTTAGACACAAATGGTTAGCTCATGCATTTACATTCCTGCATTCATCAACGCAAGCAACACAACATAGAGCTAATTTACACAGCATCACCTTGCAATTCATGCACAACACACCTGCTGGGTGTGTACACACTACAAAGGTGTTTAGATTCCACCCATAGAGCATGCTGGGAGGGAACACACTACAGAGGTGTATACATGTTCGTGGCGTGTTTATAAGGTTAGTAAATCAACCCCAGTGCCTCAGTATTCGGCCTCCATTGCTCTTAGACAGTGAAAGTGTCATGAATTCTTCGCCCTTCCACTGGTTCTCTTCTAATAGAGCTTATAAATGAAGCATCATACACCTTCCTTGCTGAATAGGGACAAATACATGATTCTCCAGATCATTGCAGACCCCAAGAAGCTCCACCCGCTGCCTTTATTGGTGATTAATGTCTTTGCATACTGCAGCAGACGGCTCAGATGATGCTGGCTTCATGTAGGCGCTGACACGGAGACATACGTCATACAGCTAACAGCTGAGAGAGCAACGTTTGCCTTCCCTGCCCATCACTGAATTACAAACAGGTATGGGGCAGATGAGAGAAGTTGTGGCCTGCTATGTTAAACTAGATATGTTCTGCCAGTTCTTTATGCCGGACCACACCTCTGCCATCTTCCTGTCACATAAACCTCTAGCCGGCCCTCCAGGCATTGAGGCTTGCCGTTGCGCAACACATCAGTCTGTCATTCTAGCTCAGGCCCCAGCTTGTTCTTCATAAAATCTCAGCTGAGGGTGGAGCCTGGACTGCCGGCTGCCGGAATGGAAGAGGAACAATGATCTGCACAGCTGCGTTTTGTGCCGGGGACGTTGTGCCAGTCTTGCTGTTCCACATGACACGGCTTGGCTCCCCGGCATTGTTTGCTGTGTCTGCGCTGTGCCTCACTTTCCTTGCATGCCAGGAAGTGGCGCCGGCTCAGGGAGAGACTGCTGAGTCACAGTGACCATCAGATCGGCAATTAACTCCCTCAGCATCAAGCTTCCTTTTAGGCAAATATGGACCTGGGGCAATGATCAACTTAGAGGTCCCAACTTCTAAGGGGTCCTCTATACTCCAGTCCTATCACCCTAGAGGTGACCCTCCTCTCTAATATTAGGGGTCCTCTATACTCCAGTCCTATCACTCTAGAGGTGACCCTCCTCTCTAATATTAGGGGTCCTCTATACTCCATACATATCACTCTAGAGGTGACCCTCCTCTCTAATATTAGGGGTCCTCTATACTCCAGTCCTATCACTCTAGAGGTGACCCTCCTCTCTAATATTAGGGGTCCTCTATACTCCAGTCCTATCACTCTAGAGGTGACCCTCCTCTCTAATATTAGGGGTCCTCTATACTCCAGTCCTATCACTCTAGAGGTGACCCTCTTTTCTAATATTAGGGGTCCTCTATACTCCAGTCCTATCACTCTAGAGGTGACCCCCCCTCTCTAATATTAGGGGTCCCCCAACATCTTCAAATGGGTTATTTTACAGCAGCTCCCAGTTACCAATAACAACATAGAGGTTCGTGGTTCTCCTTGGGTTGCTGTTGGGCCGGAGGGAGTAGTTCTGTTTAGGGCAGGATCATGCAGAAACAGGTTATACATGCTACTGAATCCATACAGCTCTGTGTACAGCTCGGTGTGCAGTTATTCTACCAGGGCCAGAGATAAAATCTTTCAAAATAGAAAGTGTATTACAAGTGATCTGTCACAAAGGGCAGCTGAGGGCGTAAAACTCTAAAAATAACTGAAATATCCAAATACCACAAATAAAAGATTCAGCGCGGCCTCATCGATCCTTTCAGGGGCATTATGAAATGATATATATGCAATCTCCCACATACTAGGCCCTGACCATCTGTAATAGTACATTGGCCTGCTTAAAGGTCACATCGGAAATTTCCCGACATTACATGTCTGCAATTGATTTGCAGGGTGACATGTTTCCATGTATTTTGGGAGCTGGTGACATGCAAATTAATGCCTGCATGCGTCAGCCAATCACAAGACTCTTCGCCCACACACCCTCCCCGGTCAGCTTTGTGTACAGAAGAGGAATGTGTGCCTGGCAGAATGCACTCGGTAACCCTTGGTGTGGGACGGGATCAGATGACAATTGCAAGTTCTCCTACTGGCTCGCTAGCGTTTACATCAGCTGAGTAAACGCAGTAATAAGATCCCAGTACATGTCCGGGAGGCAGGAACATGAGGGGGGAGGGAGGCGAGGAGGCTGCAGAGACACCTGCTGTTAGGGAACCACTATTACACCATATTGCAGAACGGCCAGGAAAAGAACAATCGGCGTGAAACGTGACCAGCCCATTAAATCTGCATGTAGGCCACACGTTATAGCAATAAAGGGACTGCTGCCTATGAGCTAGATAAAAGTGTCCGTCAGTAAATCTCAGGTACCGTGGTTGTGTTCCTCAGTTTCGGTGACTCCCTTTGCTTGTTTATAGGTGATTGAGAAGTTCTTAAATGAGACCTGGCTGAATCGTTACAATGAGCCCATCTCGGACAGTACGCTGACCTCACTCTGGTCCATCTCCGTTGCCATCTTCTCAGTTGGCGGCATGATTGGCTCTTTTTCAGTGGGACTGTTTGTGAACCGCTTTGGAAGGTACGTTGTGGTTTTATGACGGCGTGCATCTTATTTACAGAACCCGCAATGTATACTCGTGTAATACAAGATGAAGTTATAGATCTCACATGGAGTTACCAGATGCTCTGAATGTTAATGATCTAACTCCACAATCTGCTGCTCAGAGTTTCCCAACAGGCAAGAGTTTCTATTTATAACCGAGACAGGTCTATGAAGGTCACCGATTGAGACATCCTGACCTCATGCTTCATGTAGTCACAGGACACCGCAAGGGTACAAGATCAGAACTTCAGTGCTCGAGGTTACAAAATAAGATTGGAAAGTCACGCAATACATTGTGAATAGATGGAAATGCAGCCCCCCCCCCCCGTAACAATCTATCACTTGAAAGATTTCCCCAGCAGCCAGTTAAAGGAGAAGTACGAGGTCAGGCCTTTCCCCATAGTTCTCCTTAGGGTAACGTGAGGACACAAACTAGCGTCCTCCCCCCACCCTAGGCTCAGTATATAGGGAGCTGCAGCTCGCGGTATACTGAGACGTCACAGCCGGAGCGGATCCAGACAATTATGCCTGGCTCCGCCCAGTTGCGTGAGTGACAGCTGGCTTGGCCTATCTAGAGGCAGAGCCAGCTGTACCCGCCCCCTCCCCGTCCGTTCCGCCAGTCAGCGCTGGAGGATCGGAAGCAGTGACGGGATCGAGAGGTGAGCGAACGCCGGTATGTGTTCCCTCACCTCCCGATCTACTGAGCCGACCTGTGACAGTCTCATTGTCCCAGGTTGGCTAGAACTATGAGGAGGAGTGACAAGCCCCTCCCCCCCCTCATACTTCTCCTTTAAGGAACCTCATACATTGTAACAGGGAAATCACAAAGAAGAGACGTATCAGGGGAATAAAGACTTGTCACATAACTGCTAATCTACATCTCCAAAACATCGATTTGACTATATATACAGTAGTGGTCCATTCACTACTGGTGTCCACGAAGGACAACTAAGCTTGTTTTCTGGCATTTTTCTACAGGCGTAACTCCATGTTGATGGCCAACATCCTGGCATTTATTGCTGCTATATTTATGGGCTTCTCCAAGCTCTCATACTCCTTTGAGATGCTAATCATTGGCCGGTTTGTGATCGGTCTGTACTGTGGTCTCACTACTGGATTTGTCCCCATGTACGTTGGAGAGATTGCCCCTACATCCCTGAGAGGTGCCCTGGGAACACTGCACCAGCTGGGTGTTGTGGTTGGAATTCTGATTGCCCAAGTAAGTAAAAATATGACTGTGTTATATGGGGAAAATGATTGCCATGAAGAGCTGCCGGCAGTAACTTCTCCTTCTATCTGTACAGATCTTTGGGCTGGAGCCGATAATGGGCAATGACTCAATGTGGCCTCTACTTTTGGGATGCATCTTCGTACCTGCACTGGTCCAGTGCGCAGCACTGCCCTTCTGCCCCGAAAGTCCTCGCTTTCTGCTCATCAACCGCAATGAAGAAGATAAGGCCAAAAGTGGTGAGTAACCAAACTGCCTAACCTACAAGGTCAGGTCTTGAAATAGCTAATTGGGTGGTGGTCCAAGGCCATAAGCCATGAGGTCTCGTTCCATGCGGTTTCCACCACGGCTGATAAACATTTGACTCTGTGGGGGTGATTTACTAACCTAAACACACGCACGCACTAGGTGCGTGTGATTGTCACACAGCAAAACGTATTTATCAACCAAAAAGTCTCTAAAAGCATATTTCCACTAATGCCATATATGGGAAAATCATGCACATGATGCATATATAATGCTGCTTCACAGTTTAGACAAAAATGGTTAGCTCATGCATTTACATTCCTGCATTCATCAACGCAAGCAACACAACGTAGAGCTAATTTACACAGCATCACCTTGCAATTCATGCACAACACACCTGCTGGGTGTGTACACACTACAAAGGTGTTTAGATTCCACCCATAGAGCATGCTGGGAGGGAACACACTACAGAGGTGTATACATGTTCGTGGCGTGTTTATAAGGTTAGTAAATCAACCCCTGTTTCTCATAGTCTTGAAGAAGCTTCGAGGCACCACAGATGTTACTGCTGACATGCAGGAGATGAAGGAGGAAAGTCGTCAGATGATGAGGGAAAAGAAGGTCACAATTCTGGAGCTCTTTCGGTCACCACTGTATCGCCAACCTATCTTCATTGCTATTGTCCTTCAACTATCCCAGCAGCTCTCCGGTATTAATGCGGTAAGGGCTCCACCAATGGCCTTGTTCTCTAACATGTGGTTCTATATTTCTCGTCTGCTGTGATGAGAAAACACTGAACGTTCAAACTCTAATGTAGGTTTCTTTTTTCCCCCCTTGGTTCAGGTTTTCTACTATTCCACCATGATCTTTGAAAAAGCTCAAGTCGAGCAGCCAATCTATGCCACCATAGGTGCTGGAATTGTGAACACCGCATTTACTGTTGTCTCGGTGAGTAAAATGCACAGAATTTGCTATAAGCCAATAGAATGGAGACATAGAAATGGGACTTTATAAAACTCCTAAACCACTTTTGTAAGATAGACAACATGCTGGGAAGACACAACTAAACTCTGATATCATGAACTGCCCTTGTTAGTGGTTCTCCTTGGGTTGCTGTTGGGCCGGAGGGAGTAGTTCTGTTTAGGGCAGGATCATGCAGAAACATGGTACTGAATCCATACAGCTCTGTGTACAGCTCGGTGTGCAGTTATTCTACCAGGGCCAGAGATGAAATGGACAAATTTACATAGAATGACCAAAAGCTTTCAAAATAGAAAGCGTATTACAAGTAATCTGTCACAAACAGCAGCGGACGGTATAAAACCCCAAAAATCAACTCTTAAATATCCAAATACCACAAATAAAAGATTCAGCGCGGCCTCATCGATCCTTTCAGGGGCATTATGAAATGATATATATGCAATCTCCCACATACTAGGCCCTGACCATCTGTAATAGTACATTGACCTGCTTAAAGGTCACATCGGACAGTACATGTCAGCAATCGATTTGCAGGGTGACATTTGTCCCATGTATTTTGGGTAGGGATGCACCGATACCACTTTTTTACGACCGAGTACCGATACTTTTGATCAAGTACTCGCCGATACCAATTACCGATACTTTTTCTTAAAAGGGACAGGTCACATTTTTTCTAAAGCAATACAAACTAATGGTATCGGAGTACTCACCCAAATACTCGGTATCGGCACCGATACTAGTATCGGTATATCCCTAATTTTGGGAGCTTGTGACATGCACATTCTGATATCATGGACTGCGTTTGTAGGCTCAGGTAGACCAGTGAAAGAATGAATGATGAGATTTTTTCTTTTATCTTACAGCTGTTTGTGGTTGAGAGAGCCGGCCGTCGTACGCTGCATCTGATTGGACTGGCAGGCATGGCCGGGTGTGCTATACTGATGACCATTGCCCTGGTATTGCTGGTAAGTGTCAGGTGATTAAATACAAGTCGGCCTAGTAAATTATAATGAGAAGATCTCCGTTGTAGTTTGTGTCTGGAAAGTAAGCGGTCTACAGACGTTCCTGGTGCAGGACTGCACATGAATTCTATATTTAGTTACACTGACATGGCTATTCTCAGCACTGTACAGGAACTATACAAGGATATCCATATTTAACCTCTCTCCTTTGTCTTCTATAGGACCGTGTGTCAGAGATGTCCTACCTCAGCATAGTAGCCATCTTTGGCTTTGTGGCATTCTTTGAAATTGGACCTGGTCCCATCCCATGGTTTATTGTGGCAGAACTGTTTAGCCAAGGTCCCCGACCTGCAGCTATTGCTGTTGCTGGCCTTTCCAACTGGACATCAAATTTCATTGTGGGAATGTGCTTCCAGTATGTAGAGGTAAGTGGCTCACATCTCGGCTGACTTTACAATGCAACGATTTAAACATGTGAAGGCCATTGTATTGCGAGGACATCCTCCTAACCAGATCTGTTTTCCTTTGCAGAAACTCACCGGTGCCTACGTCTTCATTATATTTACCGTGCTTCTCATCGGCTTCTTCATCTTCACGTTCTTCAAGGTGCCAGAGACCAAAGGACGCACCTTTGATGAGATTGCTTCTGACTTCAGGCAGGGGAGTGGCCAATCCAACATGGATAAACCAACTTCTCCAGAAGAATTGCACAGCCTGGGGGATTCCCAAGTGTAAACCTTTCACCTGCAACACTTACCTCTGGCCATTTCCCTCTCCTTCTCTACCCGTGTCCGGCCTGCCATTGTATTATCGGTGGTGCAGAGGGACTTGGAGTGAGAACAGCGAGAGGGAACAATCTCCTCTTTTAGTTTATGTTGATCATAACAAGGCCTCCATCTGAAATCTTGCCACCACCTCAGGGCGGCACAGCTAGACAGCAAACCATTTTTCAAACAATCCTGCTCGCTGCATTTCAAACCTTCTTGAATAACCACAGGGTAGATCTAGTGTTCCTGGCAGGCACAGTGCCCGTAGGTGGGTAGATGAAGGGGAAAGGAAAGAACATCTCTCTGATTGTTTATTTGAGTCAGCTTTCAGGCCTGCGACACTAGGCAAGGAGTGGGGTGTCTTCTCACCCGCCATGCACTCCGTTTACGTACTGTAGTAGCATTTCTTTTCACTTGTCAGAGACTGTGGGGGGAAGGAGAAGAACACGGTTTGCAGCAATTACAATTCTGTAAGTTTAGACAACAGAAGCTTCGGAGGCTGAAATACTTTTCTAGCATTGGTTGGCGGTGGATGACATACTCAGGATGATGTGATCAAGGAGAAGGCTTATATGATGGACTTTACTTGTGCAGCCGGAGAACTCTGCACGGAACTGACGCAATGTATGTATATTGCCACCTGCGATGTACAGAACTTATCTGTCTTTCAGCAATCACAGTGCCTAGTCCTTCTAGCTCTTTGTCTGCATCGTCTGTATCTTACAGTCCATAGCTCCTTCTCTCCACAGCAGTCATTTCATTCTACAGAATATCTAAAGCAGGTTCTGATGGTACAGATTTTATGTGTGTGTGGAGATTTGCCATTCCATTGATGTGTAATATTTGCCGCAGGTTTGCAGGTACAAAACACCCCTCCGTGTGTGATTAGCGGCTTCGCCCAGCAGTAAAGTAGGACATTTAGCATGTTCCCAGTGGGGAGAGTTCATACATGAACTGCACTGATGACTTGTCCCTGCGCTGCTGGGCGGTGGGGAGAGGTCAGCCAGCACTGACTAGTACAGGACATTGGAGGGTTGCTCCCCATTAGAGCGGGGCTTGTTAGCAGCAGCACTGAATACTTTACAATGGCTGTGACCCTGCCGAGCGTTTTCTTCCACGTGTCCTCCACCCCCCAACGGAGATACACAAACCTGCCTTATCTTACGGTTCTGCTGACGCCATGCTGGGCCTCCGGATAGTGATAGTCAACATTTATCGGTCTGGTATGGGTCCCCTCTAAGAGGCAGGAAGACTTCCTAAGCCGCCCATTCCCATGATATTCATGTCAGCCTTTCCTTAACGATTCCTATCCTTGAGCTTTAGGCTTGCCTTCCTGATCTAGCCACAAGCAGAGACACATTTCTTTGTATAGTTTTAAAGATATTTATATATATATATATTTATAGGTATATATATAAATATATATATTTTTGTTGGATGGTATTATTAGACAGGTGTAAGTTATAGTATACCTGGAATGCTGTACTGTAAATATAACTATTGTAGTTACAAAACGTGGTTTTTGCACAGTAGGTCAACCGATGTAGAGTTCAATTTTTATTTTCCACTTGTAACGTTTCTTAATGTAAAGCTTTTGAATGTCTCACGACCCTATTTTGTGTGTATTACACTGTCACCATAGCTCTGTGTACAGAACCTGAACGAGGTGGATGCGTCGATTCATTCCTCTGTGGCCGCACTCTTCTTACTGACAAACCTCCGGCAGAGTTGTCGGCCTCCCAGAGAGATGAAGGAAAGGAGATTTCCTGCTAGAAATGAAGTTCTGTATGTAAATCTATCAAGTAGTAATCATGTTTCCTCAAACTCATCCCTTGTCTCATGTTGAGAAAGAGACCTTAATGACGACATTGCCTGACATGCAAATTGGTTTGCGGGCTCCCAGATTTCACAACGAGATGACAACCCGGCCGCCAGCCATCGTTCAGCGTACTGTATTGCCATTGTGTGTTGTGTTGTACTGCACTCGTATAACACAGTCTTGTTGTTGTTGTTGTTGTGGGTCGCACAGCCGGGAGTGGATTGGTGTTTATCGATGGTTGGAGTCATATAATACTGGCGTGTTTGTCGGCGTGTATGTGCATATATGTCTATTGTCACAGGGTATGGAGGTCAGTACCGATGACTTTCATTTCATTATTGTTGTTAAATAGTTATTTTTTTTTATTTATTGTGAGTTTGTAACATAAACCTCTAAAAATAAAAGTAACAAATGGAAAAAAAGCTTTGCGTTTGAAATAAATCACTGGAGGGGACCGCCGACATTACCGAGGGGAGCCGCGTACAATACGAGGACCCGGGCCCAGATTTATCCATCAGGTATAACATGTGTCATCAGATAATAGACCACAACGTCCTTCCACCATACAATGAGAGTGAAGAGGAAGGACAGACATGGGTGAGACACACCGCCCATCACAAGTAACCCTTCCATACACAACCCAACACAACTGGATGGACCTGTCCTCAGACTTCCTCGTCTAGAAATAGAGCCGGAATTTCCTCACACACCTTCACAGGAAGAACATCAACAACGCAACACCAATGGATCAACAGGCCGGCAGATCAATCAGCTCAATGCAGACAGCAAATCCAGAAAACAAGATAGATTCTATATGAGACCCCCCCC